TACTAGTGATAATAGCTACCATTTATTAGGTGCTCAGTCGGTGTCAGACAATGCACTCAGTAACTTCCATGCATGACCTCATTTCATAAACGTCCAAAGCAGCATCTCTCACACACCTTTAAACTTGGTCTACAGTCAAAAATACGCTTTCTCCGTGACCTGATATGTATTCACTAGGTATAAGCAGTGTTTCCACAAAACGGTATTTTCTTTGACTTCATGATTTTTTCTAAGTGATGTCCTATTTTATATTTTTGTTTTTTTGTCAAGAGCCCCTCAAGTCATAGGTAGAAGGATTGATAAGAAAGGGGCACCAGGGAAGTATGAGGGGTTACAGAAATGTCCCAAATCTTGCTTAGGGTGGTGTACAGTCATTTACACACATGGCAGACATTTGTCACAACTCACCAGACTGTGCACCTAAAAGAGTAAACTTCATTACATGGATATGTGTCTCAATAAAGTTAAGTAAAAAAACAGTAAGATCCACAAAAGTCATTTCACAATGCATGGTTTGCTCATGACCCACAGTTTGAAGAGCACTGGAAGGAAGGAAGGGATTAATGAATGAGGGAAGGGAAGGAGAGAGGGAGGCTGAGGGAGGCCCCACTATGTATGTCTGTATGTATGTATTATGTAGGTAAGTAAGCTCTACACCCAGTGTGGGACTTGAACTCAAGACCTGGAGACCAAGAGTCACGTCCTCTAGGAACTGAGCCAACCAGGTGCCCCCCCAACTCCCCAATATTTAAAGTAGGGAGATTTTACAGATGTGCACCTCCGGCTCCTCTTGGGACATGGAGGGATATGGGCCCGGAGGGAACCAAGTCCGAGAACCTGGAGAAGCCCAGTTTCGCTCAGGTCTGGCATCCTTTCTCAGCCAGCCCATGCCTCCCGAGGTGCTCAGATGACTGGCCCTGTGTGACGCGTTTCATGGCTCGTGGGTTGGGCTAGGGGTGTGACATAGAGGGAATGGAAAGTGCATAGGTGCCTGAGCTCCTGAGTCCTGGGCAAAGGGAAGGAGATGGGGTCACCACCGCAGAGTGAGGAAAGACCAGCAAGGAGTAACTGAGAAAGGGAAGTGAAAGCCAGGAGGCAGGGTGCTAGCATGTCCCCGCAGGGGCAGCCTGCCCGGGCATGTCCCATCTGGTGCTAGGGGTTTCCTTCTTGCCCTGAGTCCCCTGCCAGCCAGATTTGTGGCAAGTGTGGCCAGGTGTGCCTGCTCCAGAGAGTGTCCCCGGCAGTGGGCCAGTTACCAGGAACCTGTGACAGGTGTGCTTCGGGACTGTTCTGGGGGTCCGTTTTTGTTTGTGTCTGACTTGATCTGTATCCCTGAGGTCAGTTACTGACAGCTGTAATGGGTCAATTGTGAACTGGTGTGGCTGCGTTTGTGTGTGTCCCTGTAGGAGCGTCACCTAGATCAAGCTCTGTGTTCAGGTGTTCCTGTGACAGGTGTGTGCGTGTGTGTGCGCGCGTGTCCACCTGCGCCTATCAGAAAGCGTGTGTTTCCTGAGAAGCGCTCAGCCTCAGCCCGTGACTGCGTGTGTGTGCTGGGGGTGCCCGTTCCGTGGCAATGTTGGTGAACACAGTTTGTGGGTCCCCTTTGCTTATCAGTGTGGGCGTTTGTGCAACACAGCCCCCTTCCTTGTGTCCGTCCGCGTGTCCTAGGGACCCTGTCAGCTAGCCGGTCTCTTTAATTGTGTCTGGGTGCGAGACTGTGCGCCCCAATCATCGTGGGAGCCGGCATATCCGCTCCCCGGTCCACGGGGTGCATTTGTGCGAGTGTGGCCGTGCGCCTGCGAGTGGCTCGTTGCCGTGGCCCTGTCAGCACGTGACTTTGTGTACCCTGGAGCGCCAGCCGGTCAGTCGGCGTACGCGTCTCTGGGCGCGTGTGTCTGCGGGTCCCAGTCAGTGTGTCAGTGTGTCAGCGCGTGTGTCCAGCTGTCCCGCCGGCCGAGCGGCCCCGGTCGGCACGCCTCGGTCCTCCTCGCCGCGGGCCAGGCCCTGCCCCGCCCCCGACTGCAGGGAAACCCCCGCGCGGAGGTAGGGGGGCGCGGCGCGCGCCTGCAAGTCCCGACTTGTCCGCCGCGGGCGGGTGGGCGGGCGGGGCCGTGGCGTCACGGGGGGGCGGGGCGTGGGACCCGCCGGGCGGGGGCGGGGCGGGGCGGGGCGGCCGCCGAGCGGGCAGGGGATCCGCCGGGCGGCCTGAGACGCGGCGCGAGCCACATGCGAGCGGGCGCCTAGCGGCGGAGGCGGCGGCAACGGCGGCAGCGACAGACTCGGCAGCGGGGGCCACGACGCGGACGCGCCTACAGCCCGAGCAGGAGCAGCAGGAGCCACAGCCACAGCAGCCGCCACTGCAGTTAGAGCAGCAGTAGCGGCCGCCGCCGCAGCAGCAGCAGCCGCAGCGAGCGGCGCTAGGCGGGCGCGCCCTCTCGAAGGAAGCCGCCCGCCCCCCATCACCGCCCCCTCCAGCGTGTTCATGCCCCCGGGGTGAGTGTGCGCACCCCGAGTCCCCACGGGCCGCGACTGGCCAGGCCGGGTGGGCTCCCTGGAGGAGGTGGCAGGAGTGCGCTGGGAGAGCAGTGGGATCGCGCTGCATCCCCACCCTGTGCCTCCCTCTCTCCCCACCCTCCATCCCACGAACGACCCTGGGTTGGGGTCGCTGGGCCGGAGGCACTAAGGGTCCGGGAGCGCAGGTGTCTCAGCGGTCCGGCGGGTTTGTTTACAAACAATGGGGTGCGGGCTCGGCAGCGCCCCCTGGCGGCCAGTGAGGGCCCGGGGAAGAGAGTCGACCCCGACTGCCCCGGCCCCCGCAGTCCGGGAGGGGCGCGCAGGGGGGTGGGGCGGGTGGCTTGTAGAGGCGGCCACACCCCAGGCGCGCGCCCGCTGGGGGCGGCGACGGGGGGGCGGCTCGCGGGCCGTGGAGTCTGCGGCTCCTGCGGGCGGGGGCTGCGCCCCAGCAACAGCCGGTTATTGGCCCCTCGCTCGCCTGGCGGGCGGGGCGGGCGCACGTGGCGGCGGCGGGGTGGGGGGGTGTGCTGTGACAGCAGAGGGGGGCGTCTGGGCCCGCCGTGGGAGCGCGCGTGTGCGGGGTTGTGGATCTGCAGGTGTCTCGCCTGGGTGTGTGCATGTGTCTGGCTCCGAGTTAGTACTGGGGTCCGCAGGGGGTGGAGGTGTCAGTCCCGGGGAATGTTGGGGCTGTGTCCCGTCGGGGTGTGTGCTTGAGTCTCCCCATGAGTGTTTGTGTGATGGTCTGTGTATGCCGTGCCCGAGGGCTGGGTGCTGTTTATGCGCGGTGTACCTGCGTGTGTGTGTATGTGTGTGTGTGTTGTGTGCTCTGTGAGAGTTGTCAGTGGGCGCTGTTTGGGGCTGATTCTCTGGGTCTGTGTTGACTGCATGAGCTACAGTACGTGGCTGGGGTGTTTGTGTGTTGCTTGAGTGAGCTGGGTGTGAGGGTTTGTGTGCGCGTGTCTTGCCCGATGTGCTGTTTGTGTGTGCTTGTGTCTTGACTGTATGTACTGTCTGTGTCGATCTCTAGGGCATGTGTCTCAGCTAAGCGTTTGTGATGGTGTGCCTGCTGAGCGCAGTGGCTGTTTTCTGTCCAGGTGCGTGAGCACGCGCGCGCGCGTGTGTGTGTGTGTGGTGGTGGGGTTGTCTCTGTCTGTGTTTGGCTTGTGTGTCTGGCATCCGAGTCTGGAAATTGAGGACTCGGTGGGGTCTGTGTGGTGCTGTCAGTGGGTGTTACTGGCAGTCCGGGGCTGTGTCTGAGACCGTGTGTGTGTCTTGTGTGTGTGTGTGTGTGTTGGGTCTGAGGGGCTTGTCTCTGTGATCGGCTGGCTCATGTGTGTCATGTGGGCTGCGTGTGTGGAGTGTTTATGTCAGTCACGTGAGACCAGTGTTTTCTGTGGGTGCCTGAGGTGTGCGCGCTGCCACGGCTGTGTGGGATTAGAGTTGGCTGGGATGTGTGCGTGTGCATGTGTGTCCGAGGCTGACAGTTGGGGATGGTGTTTTGAGGTTGGTGGTGGAGGGTTAGCTGAGGTCTGCTCTTCGGCGTGTGTGCTGATGCATCTGGGTCTGATGACAGGAGTGTGTGTGTGCCTCATTTCCATGCGTCCCGGGATCTGAGAGTTGGCAATGGCGGGGGGGGGGGCATGTTTTGGGTGTGTTGGTCTCTGTGTATGTCCACGGATGTCCGTGGGGTGTTGGTATTTGTGTAAGCCCTGAGGTGTGCAGGTCTGACCTCGTGGGTGTGTGTATATGTGTGGGGGGAGGGGCGTGTGTCTGAGAAGGGGGACAGTGCCTGTGTGGTGTGTCTCTGTGTTTGCGATGGCTGCATTGTCCGTGTGTGTCCACACGCATATCCACAGTGGGTCAGTGAGTTCTGACAGTTTGTGTATGTGTGTGCACAGGGATGGAGGGGCTGGGATGTGGCAGCCAGTCTGCATTCTGATGGTCTGTGTGTATGTGTGTGTCCACGTTTTGGTCAGGGTGTGTGTGTGTGTGCATATGTGTGTCCTGTACTGGGTAGCAATCCCAGAGATCGGAACCATTTCTGTGCCAATGGGAGATGAGGTGGGAGGTCAGGCTGGCCAGTCCCAAGGGAGCCCTTACCTGTGTGGCGTGTACCCTTCACCACCTCCCCCACCCCTGCCGGAAGTAGTATTTGCCACTGAGGTCCTGCATGAGTCCGTGTGCATGGCCATCACCGTGTTCCGGAAGTCAGCCCCACCAGCCCATGCTCTGGGTGACTCCCAGGCTGGGTGAGTTTGTGTTCTGAGGCTGTCTCCCCTCCTGCACACACGCGCGTGTGCACACACACACACACACCTGACAGACTCCTCCATCTGGGTCCTGTGTGAGCCCTTGGACTTGCTGTGAGAGCTGTCCTGTGCCTCCTTGACCGTTGTGGGCACCATCACCACGTGCATGGGAGGCGGTCCCCACCTGGGGGGGCCCTGTGACAGACCCTCGGTGGCCATCTGTCCTTTGGGGCCATCGCAGCTGCCTACAGTGCCCCGTCTGGGCCATGTGTGTTGGGAGACCTTCCCTGGACCCCTGCCCCCCAAAGGTGCTGGTGGCTGTGTGCAGGAGTGAGTGGGGGGTGTCCTGTGTGCCCCCTGCACTGCCTACCTGACCGCACCCCTCTCCCCTGTCCTGCAGGCCCCAGGGAGCGCCATGGCCCGAGCACGCCAGGAGGGCAGCTCCCCGGAGCCCGTAGAGGGCCTGTCCCGCGACGGCCCGCGCCCCTTTCCCCTCAGCCGCCTGGTGCCCTCGGCCGTGTCCTGTGGCCTCTGCGAGCCCGGCCTGCCCGCCGCCCCCCCCGCCCCCGCCCTGCTGCCCGCCGCCTACCTCTGCGCCCCCACCGCCCCTCCCGCCGTCACCGCCGCCCTGGGGGGCCCCCGCTGGCCTGGGGGGTCCCCGCAGCCGGCCCCGAGGCCCGCGCCCCGACGGTGAGTGCCGCCCCACACGGGCGCCCCGGGATGCGGGGAGCCAGGAAAGAGACATTGAGGAACTGGAGAAGTGGGAGCGAGCCGGGGGGAGGAGGTGGCGAGCCGGCCGGGCCACAGGGAGGGTGTGGCCAGTGTGGTCTTTGTGTTGCAAGAAGCAGGAAGACTGAGTGGGAGGCTGGGGGTGGGGGGAGGCGGGGTGGGAAGTCCCTCCTGGAATCTGACTGCAGTCCCCGAGTTGCAGCCCACAGCCTTTTCCGGGCCGGGGCAGCAGCTGTTTCCCAGCCCCCACCTCCCAGAGTCTGGGTCTCCTTAACCTCTCTGAGGACGATAATTGGAGGGAGTGTGGGCAGAGCGAGAGGACTGTCACTTCGGGACTTGGGGGGGTGGGGGGTGGCCTTTTGCCTTTATCTGCATCTCTGACCAGGGCCGCCCTCTCCGCAGTCCGGGAGGAGGAAGGAGAGGGGGAGGGGCCATTGTGTGGGGAAAGTGGGGGTGGGGGAGGCCAGAGTGGGAAAGTGAGTCTTGGGGAGGGAAGGGTTAAAGGTCCCCTGCCGGATGGGCTGTTAACCCTCTGGTGCCCTGCCAGCCCCATCCCGGCCTACACGCTCAGTGGCAGGGAAGATCGTCCCGCTTTCCCTCTCCACCCCAACCCCTCACCCTGTCCCTGGAGCCCGGGGAGATCAGGGAAGAGAAAACTTCCCTGGCTGGGCTCCCCAGCAGCAGAGGCAAGAGGGGACCCGATTTCAAGACCACAGGCACAGCTGTGGAAACTGAGGCCCCCATTTTAGGCCTGAGGATGCCCCTCGCCAGGACCTGGTGTGGCTCTGGAGGGAGGCAGATACTGCGGGGCGGCCCAGAAGGGGTGGGGCAGGAAGGCGTATCCCGAATCCCAGCCCCCCAGGCCCGGGCTCGCTCGGAGGCAGCCAGTCTGGCCTTCTGGTCTCCGTGCCCCTGCCACATCCGGGGGTGTGGCTTCGCTGTGGTTGGACACCAGAGGGCAGGAGACCTGAGGCTTGTGACTGCGTGTTGTCAGTCGCCGTATCCCTATGTGACCTTGGGCCACTTCTTAGGGTGGGCCTCAGTTTCCCCATCTGTTAAGTGGAACAGGCAAAATTTGGTCCCGTTTTGGAATAGTTGGGTCGGATAAGAGGGAGACTTCCAGACTAACACGGGCAGTGGGGGATGGGGGTAAGCTGGCTAGCCAGGTAGCCCCGAGAGAGGCCTCCCCAGGACATCCTCTTGCTTTCTGGCGCCTGGGGAGCGGAAGCTGAGAAACCTGGCTTTTGGAAGGGAAAAACAGAATCGCTAGAAATGAGGCGGGGAGCAGAAAGGAAATTGGGAGGCTGGAAAAGGGAGAAGCGGGCCCTGGCTAATTGGTCCCTCGGGGCCGCCTCAGGCCCGACAGGGGTGGTGGGTGCTGACCACGCCCCCCCCCCTCCCCGGCTTTTCCCAGGTCCTCAGCCCTCACTCTCGCCGGCGGAGCCGCACCTGGAATCGCCGGTGCCCAGTGCCCCGGGGGCCCTGGCGGGCGGCCCCACCCAGGCAGCCCCGGGAGTCCGGGGGGAGGAGGAGCAGTGGGCCCGGGAGATCGGGGCCCAGCTGCGGAGGATGGCGGACGACCTCAACGCGCTGTACGAGCGGCGGGTGAGTGCTGGGGGCGGGGTAGACGGCAGGTGGGACTTCCCGCCCCGGAGGGGGCTGCGGGCGGGCCCCGCCAGATGTGCGGCAGCTGCTGCCCGACGCGGCGGGGTCGCGCTGGGGACAGGCAGGTGGGAGGGGCGGCGGGCCCGCGGACCTGACGAACGGCCCGCGCGGCGGCGGCTGGCACAGGCCGGGCCAGGACCTGGACCGCCTCGAGCGCCGCGGCGCGCCCGCGGCCCGCGGCCGCGGGGACTGAGGGCGGCGCTCGGCGGAGCGGCTCATATATCCCGGGCTATTTATAGCCGGTGAGTCAGCAGCGGCGGCGCGGCCGCGCCCGCCCCTCCCACCCGCCGGCGCGCGCGGACGGCAGCGCGCCACACAGCTTCCCGGGCGGCCCGGGGCGGGGCGGGCCGTGGAGCCCCGCCCCCGCGGGAGGCCCCGCCCCCAAGCCCGCGGCTCGGCCTCTGTTAAGACAAAATCTTGGGAGCTTATGGCGTAGAACAGAGAATAACAAATATCAGGGCGCCGAGCACCCAGCTCTGTCCAACCTGAACATTACACCCGCGCCGCTTGCTTATTGAAAGAAAAACAAAACCCGGATGTTGTCAAGCCCCTCGCTCCCCCTCCACCCTCTTCTCCTTTCCAAAGGAAACCTCTCAAGTTGGCGTGTCCCATGACTCCGCAGGTGTTGATCCCGCTACAGACTAGTGATCAGGCCACAAACAATGCTTAGGTTGGCGGGATGTTTTTGGGCTTCATATACGAGATATGGTGTGTTTCTCTCCAAACTTTTCCCCTCCTGTATTAGCTTTGAGACTGATCCGTGTGAGCAAAGCGTTTTCGCTGTTTCTGTAGCGTTCTGATGGATCAACATACAGTGTCCTTGTTCATTTTCTCATTGATGGATATTTAGGATTTAAAACAAAAAGAATGTTTCAAATTTCATTGGCTTGTTTTTTTTGTTTGTTTTGGCTTTGGTTTCTTCCTGAGGATACACATTTTTCGGTGCACTTGTGTGTACCCCACAGTACAGACGTGGCTGCTCGGCTTTACCCGGTGATTGCTAATTGCTCCCAGAGATGACTGTGCTGGGCAGCACCCCAAAGCAGTGAAACATTGGCAGGCTTTCCAGCTGATGCCATTCTGACATGCCCCCTTTGCTACCTCCCAGCTTCGAGAGTTGGTGGGGAGTAAGGAGAGGGTGGGGATTGGTACAGGGCGTCCCACAGCCTGGCACCCACTAGGGTCATAAGGATGGTTTATCTGACTTTGTTCTCATCAGTCAGAGGAGCTTCCCATCCTTTCAGGGGGATGAGACCAGGGGGGCCCTGCCTGTTAGCAGCGGGCCTGGCCCTGCACTCAGGATAGGGAATGGGACAGAGCTACAGCTTACCTTTCCTTTGTACTGGGCGGGGGAGTCTTCCGTGTGGCTTCCTTCTTTCTCACTTGCCTAGCAATGTGGAACTGAGAGGGTCCTAGAGGCCACCGCAAGCCTTCATCCCGTTGCTGGAAATAGGGCAGAGGTTAGCTTTGTCTGCACAGACTTCTGTGCAGCCTCAGCACAGAAGGTGAACTGTTGTTCCCAGGGCTTGTCCTTCCACGGATCGTTCTAGAATCACTGAGACTATAGGCTCCCTGCTCCCTTCTCTGTCACTTTCCAACCTTTGAGGGGAGGGCAGGACAGTCTGCCATCCAGCCGCCCCCCAATCCTGCCACCCCCCAGCCCTGGCTGATTTTGGTCCAGAGACTAGGGGAGCACTTGCTGGGCTCAGGCACTGTGCTGAGGACACTGGGTCTGCGACCTTGCCGTCCATCCTATTCTGTTCTAGATGAGGACGCTGACTTGGACCCTGGTGGGGGGAGGAGCGGGGGATATGATGGACCCAGTCAGCAGTGATAGGGCCCACCGCTGAGGGCTGGTAGCTCACCCTTAGGAACCTGCCTCCCTCATCCTGGCCCTTGGGCCCAATCACCCACACGCCTCTGTCCCCCTGTCGGAAGCCCACTCTAACTTCCTCTTTTCCCTCTCCCTAGAGACAAGAGGAGCAGCAGCGACACCGCCCCTCCCCCTGGAGGGTCCTGTACAATCTCATCATGGGACTCCTGCCCTTACCCAGGGGCCGTGGAGCCCCAGAGATGGAGCCCAATTAGGTGCCTGCACCCGCCCGGTGGACGTCAGGGACTTGGGGGGCAGGACCCTCCCACCTCCTGATGCCCTGGCCAGCGCGGGGGACTTTTTCTGCACCATGTAGCATACTGGACTACCAGCCCTGCCTGTCCCAGGGGCGGGCCAGGGCCGCCACTCCAGCCCCAGTCCCGGCCTAGCCTGGGGACACTGATGGAGATGTGGACTCCTGGGTCCCTGGCTGGGAAGCCAGGGGAGAGAGGGCTGACGGACTCAGCGTCTGAAGGCAGCGGTGACGGAGAGGGTGGGGACGGAGCCACCCGCCTCTGCCGCCCACCACCATCTCAGGAAAGGCTGCTGGTGCTGGCTGCCCGTTCCAGCTGCAGGGGTGACACTGGGGGTGGGGGGAAGCTCCCTCCCAGTGCTCCTTCACTTTGGGCCTAGCCTCAGGCCCCTGGTGCTTCCCCCCCTCCTCCTGGGGAGGGGGCCCGTGAAGAGCAAATGAGCCAAACGTGACCACTAGCCTCCTGGAGCCAGAGAATGGGGTGGGTCTGATGGCTGCCCCAGCCCAGCGCCCAGCCATCTTCCCTGAGCCAGCCGGCGGGTGGTGGGCATGCCTGCCTCACCTTCATCTGGGGGTGGCCAGGAGGGGCCCAGACTGTGAATCCTGTGCTCTGCCCGTGACCACCCCCCCGCCCCCATCAATCCCATTGCATAGGTTTAGAGAGAGCACGTGTGACCACTGGCATTCATTTGGGGGGGTGGGATATTTTGGCGGAAACCGCCCCAGCCTTAGTCCCCAGGGCGAAGCGCTGGGGGGAAGACGGGGAGTCAGGGAGGGGGGGAAATCGCAGAAGAGGGAGGAGTCTGGGAGCGGGGAGGGATGGCCCAGCCTGTAAAATACTGTATATGCGCTGCTGTAGATACCGGAATGAATTTTCTGTACATGTTTGGTTAATTTTTTTTGTACATGATTTTTGTATGTTTCCTTTTCAATAAAATCAGATTGGAACAGTGGATACTCTTTCTGCTTTCTTTCCCCAAGGCGTGGTCTGGTCCAAGCCTCCGTGACCCCTCTCTGGGACGAGGTGGGAGAGGCATTCCACCCACAGAGCCCATCAGGCTCTCCAGCTGTATCCAACGGGAGGCTGAGGAGCACAGGCGCCACTGTATACACCCGGCCTCCATGCATCCCTATGCAACTCCCCGTAAAAGCAAAGCCCTAGAAGAGCGGAGTTTTGTTTTGTCTTGTTTAAGAGTTCGAGTCCTCTCCGCACCCGCACGTGGGTTTCGAACTTGCAAGCCTGAGGCCAAGAGTCCCATGCCCGACTAGTGGAGTCAGCCAGGGCCTCCGAAGGCAGGGGGTGGGTTTCTCCGGTGCTTTATCGTCACTTTATCCCCGCTGGATAAAGAACATCCTGGAAGCTCCATGTTTGGGGAATGAATGAATGACCTAGAACTTCTAAAGAAGCACCAGCAGGAGTCCTGGGGCACGTGTCAGCCATCAAGCTGCCCTTGACGCCACCCTCCCGGACGGAGAGCACCTCAAGCTATGACCCTTCTAAAGGATCGGGGTAAGCGGGCAAGATCACTTTGGAAAGGAATCTGGCAAAAGCTTGTCAAGCAGGTGGTGGGCATTATCTGTGCCAGCAACTGGCTTCCTGGGCGCCCTCTCTTAGAAATGCATGGGCACGAGTGTCCAAAGGTTGGCAACTCGAGAAAACAACTCTATGTCTCCAGCAGCAGTTGAAAGGGTCTCAAGTCTGCTCTAGGCATGCAACAGAATAATTGACAGGGGGTAGCCGGAATGAACTAGAACTCTACTAGAACTCTCCCTCTTCTCAGGGAGAAGAAAAAAAAAAAAAAAAGCGGGTGGCAAAATGGTGGCGGGTACCTGGGTGTTACTCTATTATTCTCTGTATTTTCCGTCGGGACTTAAACGCTGTGCACAGAGGCCAAGGGTAGGGGCGTTCACCCCCAGCCGTCTGTCTGGCTGCTCCTGGGCAAAGAATGCTTCCCACACGGGCAACCTAGGGCTTCCCCTTTCCAGGAACAGTTCGTGGAATCACTGATATGGTGGAGTTAGGTCTATCGATTTTATTATTTGTTTTCCCTTTTCGTCCCGGTTTCCGCTCTCCTGCCTTCTCCTGGATTATCTGAATACCTTTTTCCAGTTCTTTTTGAGATTTCGCTCTCCGCAGTTCGGTCTCTAGTACTGCTCTGGGACGGCACCCGCAGGTGCGCTTTCTCAGTCTGTCTGGAGTCTGTAGGGTGTCATGTCACTTCCAGCGGAATCCGTCACCGTTCAGGCCACAAGTCCTTGCCACTCCTCCCACTGTTTTGTGCTGTCGTGGTCACACGGCTTACATCTCCACTCACAAACCCCTCATGGCAATGGCATAACTTTTTTTTTTTTTAAGATTTTATTTATTTATTTGGCAGAGAGAGCGAGCGAGCACAAGCAGGCAGAGTGCCAGGCAGAGGCAGAGAGAGAAGCAGGCGCCCCGCTGAACAAGGAGCCCAATGTGGGACTCGATCCCAGGACTCTGGGATCATGACCCGAGTGGAACGCAGCGGCTAAGCCACCCAGGAGTCCATAACTTTTTTTTTTTTTAAAGATTTTATTTATTTATATGATAGAGATCACAAGTGGGCAGAGGCAGGCAGAGAGAGGGGGGAAGCAGGGTCCCCGCTGAGCAGAGAGCCCGATGCAGGGCTCGATCCCAGGACCCTGAGATCATGACCTGAGCTGAAGTCAGAGGCTTAACTGACTGAGCCACCCAGGCAACCCATAACTTTTGCTTTAAAATCATATACGTTTTAAAGAAACGAAGCAGCTAGATAGTCTTTAGCAATCTTTCCTGAGTTCCAAGCAATCAGCCTGAGTTCCAAGTTTCTCCTGGGATAATGTCCCGAACACCTGGAAGAACGCCCATTAGCATTTTGTGTAGTGTCTTTCTGCCAGTGACAAGTTCTCTTAGTCTTCTTTTATCTAAAAATACTTGTTTTCACTGGTTATAAAATTCTAGGGTCGTTTTCTTGAATCATGGTTGCCCTGCTTGTAATGTGTTGTTTCTGTCAGCTGCTTTCAAGACTTTATTTGAAAAATCTTTGTCTCTTTTTGAGACTGGATAACTCCCATTAATATATTTCCCGCGCAGGGAGTCTCTCATCCCCATTCTATTAGGTCTACCAGTGGATCTTTAGAATCACAGTTACTGCATTGTCAGTGTCAGAACATCCATTTTGTTCTTTAACATTTTTCTATTTCTCTGCTGAGATTTCCTATTTTTCAACATTACACTTTTACCTCAATAAGCACAGTTGTAGTAACTGCTTTAGAGTCCTTGCCTGCTAACTCCAGCACTTGGTTTTTTGTTGTTGTTGTTAACGTAGGCTCCACGCCCAACATGGGGCTTGAACTCACGACCCCGAGATCGGGAGTCGCATGCTCTACCCACTGAGCCAGCCAGGTGGCCCCCTAACACTTGGGTTCTCTTGGTCATCCTGTCTCTTCCCTTGAGAATGAGTCGCATTTCCCTAATTCTATGTGTATTGGGTAATTCTGCCTTGTGTCCAGATGTATGTTAATGTTGTAGACGTTCTGGATTCTGTTATATTCCTCCAAAGAAATGTGAAAGGTCTTGCTGTAGGGATATTTTTACTTGCTAGACTCAGCTTACCGTAGGGGGTGATGGTGTAAATCTGGATCACTTCAGCCCTGCTTGGAGTCAGCCCCACAGATCCACAGCCTGGTGGTCAGCAAGAGACTTGGGCTGAATTTATACAGGTCACTTGGGGGAAGGGAACCTCCCTGGCACTCTCCTTTCCAGTTGCTGTGGTTCCTCTAGGCTCTGTCCTCTGGTTCTTCAGGCCAGGAAAACAGCTGGTTTTCTACCTGAGTCTTGGCTGCCCGGCTATGCCAGGACTGCAGCCCGCCCTCGGGGTGCACACACCAGAAATGAACACACACCAGAAAACTCACCCTGTGGTGAGCTCTTCTTGCAACTTTCAACTCATCCTCTCCCCAAAATCCACCTGCTTTCGAGCACTCTCCAGAGCCTTCCAGTAGTTTCGGGGTTTTTTCGGGTTTTTTTGTTTTTGGCATTTTGTCTAGAATATATAGTTTATTTGCGGAGAAGTGGGGATGGTCGTCTGTTAGAAATTTACTCCACCACACCAGAAACAGAGCCTCTGTATTTTGATAGACCTAAACCTATTATTTTTTTTTAGGCTCCCCACCGAGCAGAGCCCAATGTGGGACTTGATCCCAGGACCCTGAGATCATGACCTGAGCCGAAGGAAGAGGCTTAACCCATTGAGCCACCCAGGTGTCCCTAAACCTATTATATTTTAGGGTTGAAAGTAGAGAACCCTACTCTGCTACACAGGGTAGATGGAAAGAGCCAGAGACCCGGGGACAGTCCAAGTCAGTGACGGCCATATTTTATTTGCAAAGTCCACAAGACTCTGATAAAAGAAGAGAAGGATTAGTTCTTCCAGGGAGAAAGAAAACACTTAAAGTCATCTCTGCTGGCCTTCTCCCTTGGAACCAAGATGCTGAGTGGCTCCCTGGCTTAGCAAAGCAGATGCTCAGAGCACCTGGCAAATGAGGTCCAGAGCTGAACCTCTGCCCCTGGCAAACCACGACCCCTACACCCCAGCAAACTAATCCCAACTTGACGGGCACTCCTCAGCCACCTCCAGTAATTCCACTCTGCAATGGTTGCTTCTGGAAGGGAGAGATTTACTTTTCATTGCTCATGTTGCGTCTTCCATCCTTAAAAACTACGACTGCATGTCTTTGTAAACCTCTCAATTCTGCACTACGCACACCTATTATCTATCCAAACAACAAAGGATACGTAAAAACGCTACCACGCCAGTCTTTTGGAAGGAAACAACATCAAGTGCATTTATACACTCTGTACATAACCGTGGCCTCAGGCTTTGGGGTGTCTTTCCCAAGGGTGTGCAAAGGGAACCAGCTCAATGTCACTCAACAGCAGACTGATCAAACAGCTTACGGGTTCATCTGTGGTTTTGGAATTCAATGTCCAATGCACTGACATGGGTCTCCAAGACACAGTGAGAAAAGGCAATTTGCAGAGAAAGTTATGCATAATAGCAGCTAACACGGAGCAACTTCTCCTCAAAGAATGTATTCGTTCGACCCCCTCATTAACAGAGCGGTGTACTGCGATGGCCCCGTTTCACACATGGGGCAACGGGGAGGCACAAAAAGGTCTCTTGCCCAAGGTCGCATAGCAAGTCGTATGGTCTGGGCTTAAACCTGACAGTCTGGGAAGACTCACTGTCAAACTATGCCAAGAGTGAGCACTGGGAGGTACGTATGAAAGTGGATACAGCTAACATATCCAAAAAGCATCTTACATTTCTCCCCAAAATCCCGTGTTTAGCCAGGAAGTCAGCTGCTCCCGCTACGTGGCCGACGTTGAGCTGCCAGGCCCTATGAGGCAGCGGGAGCCACCCGGTCCTGCCTGCTAGGTTTTCAGTGGCGACTACTAGATCTCAGAACCTTGGGAAGGTAAAGCGCGAGCCTCTGACAAGTACGGGTGCCACTAAGTAAATGTCCACTGAGTGTCTTGTGGAGACGCCTCCCCATCAGCCCACATCCTGCCCCTTAATGTTGGGGCAAGCTGTTCCCTCTTCTGCAGTGTGAGCACGACAGCAGCGTCGACCCCTACGGGGCTGCTGTGAGGGCTCAAACAATTTAGCTGAAGTGCAGGCATTCTGAAAGGGGCCAGGCAGGCGTGCGATCAAAAGTGTTAGCTATTATTAAGCTCTTTTGACTTGCCAACTCCAACCTAAGTCTCCATTCTTCCATCTACAAAGGGCAACCAGGACATACCTCAACAGACACACACGTTTGTATTTACCAAAACATACGCAAGAAACTGACAAGCATCTACACTGCAAAGGGAAACCACGAGACGTGGGGCTCTGATGGGACCGAGAGCTTTTTAACGTTGTAATGTTAACCTTTGCGTGTTTTTTTTCTTTCTTTTTTTCGAGTAGCACCTATTCCACTAGAATGTTTCAAGGCTTCGACTTAACAGGGTCTGGCTACTAGGTATCACCCTCAGACAACAGAAGTGGGATACGGAGCGGAGAAACCTGGCAGCCCCAAAGACAGCCCCCTTCCTCTCATTTGGAAACTCGAGCTTCCCGAAAATATTTGTTACCTTCACAGATTAGATCCTCCTTCCCAAGTAGCTACGAATCTCCTGGAGGTATGAGAAACCACAGGACCATCACTGTGCTCTTCCTGGAGACTTGGCGAAATCTATTTTTATCATAATACGAACGTGTAACATGGGAGAAAATGAAATTTGAAATGAGAATAAAGACTGTTCTCGCCTGCGGCTGGCAGCTTCCAGCGCCCACCCCAGATTCCCAAGGGGTCTTTTCCGATGACTCGATTTCTGCCATGAAAGGTACAGGGGCGGAAAAGTTTGAGAAGCTTCTGGGAAGATTCTGTGATGACAATTTTGTTTTTATCCATCCAGATCCACCTGCTCCCCCTTGTGACCAAGGCCCCACACTGCAAAGTAAGAGGGTGTCGGCTCCATCTGTCAAAGACAGGGTGAGAGTCATGAATTGCTAAAAACACTACCCTTGGTGCCCCTTAGTTGACACTGACGGGGTCAGGAAAGGGGCCCCTCCAGAAACACAGTCCTAGCCTCACCCAGGGAGGAGGAGAGGGGACCGAGGGAGGGTCAGGGAATTAAGTGCCTCCTTCCTGTGGAGACCTATTTTTTTTTTTTTTTCCTTTTCTTTTCTTCTGCAGCAGGACTGAAATAGGAAAGGAGGGGAGTTTGTTCGAACTGGCCAGACTCACAGCTCACACAATTTTATAAGAAAGAGAAACCCTAGGACGATGGTGGGAGCTGGAGCACGCGCGGGCGGTCAACTCAAAGACAAACCCGCCATCCCGAACCAGTGAAGGCTTTGGCCCCTGCCAGCCATGGGACTTGTGGCACATGATTGAAGTGTCACTTAGCTCTCATACGGAGCCCCTGCCCACTCGGACCGCGCACAGGGCCTGCTGCACAGGGGATCCCCACGGAAGGCAGCATCAGTATCACATCTTTTATTTCTTCCCCATTAATTTAACTCTTGTCACCGAGAATAGCCACTATTGAACTGAATTAGTCACAGTTGGAACAAGAAGCTTCTACGTACTCGAGAATTTGAGGCACCTGACTCTTGCTGCATTACCCAGAAAAACAGTGGCAGGAATGGTGACGGAGGGGAGGAGTCTCTGCGTCACACTGAAGCATCCAGTGCTTTTTCTTTAGGTTAGAAAAGGCTACTGATAGGATCACTCCCTCGTCACCGGAAGGCGCTTGTAATGTGGAAAAATAAATAAACAAATCCTAAAGCAAATAACTTTATTTCTATCATTCCTTCTTAAAGAACCAAGGAAACGTAGAAAATATAAAAAACACACAAACAGCTGCAATTCGGGGGGTAAAGGAAGGACTGACAGAGCCGTCGAAAGCAATGGGCTCCAGGACGATCTGAGTTGCATCAGGGATGGGGGGTGGACGGGGCTCTGGTAAGACAGGCTCCTATGTCCTAGCTGGGGCCCTGATACCTCAGAATCCTCAGGAGGTGACACCCTGGAATCTGCCTTTTTAAAACAAGTCTTCCCGCTAATACTCACTTTGCAAGTGAATATTACCAGAGTTCCCTAATGCCCAAGGAACTCTGGTAACATTTCCTCTCTTCCGAAATCCAGGCTGAAACCCAACTAATCCTGAACTAAAACTCAAGAACAGCACACCAGAGACCACCTGTTGTTTTTCAGGATCTCAAACTCTGGAGGAAACACATTCCACTTGCCCTGTCTTTCCCTCTCTGGGGCACCTGTCTGCATGTGGAACGGCGGCTCCGCTAGTGTTTCACCCGGCCCGGCCTCGTTCCCCACCTGGAGTCATGCTCTTCTCCGCATGACATCAGGCAGGAGGGAGTCCACGGAGGTGGCGAGAGGATCGCAAGCAACAAGGCGTGCCTGTCCCTGGTAGGCGTCTCCTGCCGAAGCTCGGAGGGCTGGCGATGCCATGGCGGCCCCAGGACAGGGGGATGCGTCAGAGGGGGTGTACAGGTGACGCCGGCACGCAGCCCTTGACGGTGTGGGATGGAGACACCGGTTCCTAAGCCCCTTGCTGAGCAGCTGCTGGTGCATGGAAGTTGCACATCTGGACAAGGTCATTGCTCATGGGAAATGGTTTGTACTAGTCCAGTGGCCTCACTTTCCCCCCGCCTGGAGCAGCCTTCGTCGGGGGGAGGGGACAGGGCACACGTGCGGTCAGGCTGCAGGTCAGTATCTCCAGGATGGCCAAGTCTTGGGTTCACTTGGGGCCGAGGCACTCCACAATCCCACTGCCCTTCATCCCATCAAAAAAGAAGAAGTTGTTGTGAGGAGGGTCCCTCTGAGACAGGGCCTGGGAAGAAAAACAAGACGAGGGTTCAGCTCAGATGCTTTCAAAAAAAAGAAAAAGAAAAAAGAAAAAGCCCTCAAAAACCAGATCTTCTAGAACTTGGCAGCAGTCTTCAAGAGAGGCTGGTTTTGCTCCCCAGGGGGTCACTGGCTACGTCTAAGCCATGACCGTGTCTAAGCCACGACCGTGACTGCCACGTCTCTCTGCGCTGTCCCCCATCACTCGTTTGTCTCTGGACAGATCGTTTAGCCTCTCTGAACCTCATTTTCCCTGTGTGAAATGGAAACAGCACACGTACTGTCCTCGGCATTAAGAGAGATGCTGCTCCTGAGCCATGTGAAACGACGCCCCACCCGGAGCAGCGCCGGGCGAGCGGCCGGGGTGACTGCGCATGGCTGTCCGACTGAGGACAGCGGCGCGCCATCAGCTGCGGGACACACTGGAAGAGCCAGGCGCGGATCTTCCAGAAGGAGACATGCTGCCTGCCTTCGTCGGCACGACAGGCCGGGGCTGGGATCCAGAGAACCTTAGAGGTGCTATTTAGCCTGGAAATGGTGATTAACTTGTGGGGTTAACAGAAGCACAGGGCACTTTAAAGGTGCAGCTAGACCTCCTGAAATCACGTGCTGAATCATGTGTGTACATGTGTGTACTGGAGAAAGGACTCATGGGTGTCAGTGAGTCTTCTAAGAGGTTCTTAACTCAAAAAGGGCTGCCATTTAAAGACGAGGACGTCGCCCAAGCGCGCCGCTGAGCAGGATTCAAAGGCCTGTCATTCACGGAGCAGGACCGCTTCCACAAGGTTAGGAATGCACCCCAAACACCCTGAACTTCGCTTTGAATCGAGCACCATTCTCAACCTATTTTTTCCCCTGTAAAACGGGAGCAATTACACCTCCTTCAAGTGTTATTCATCCATCCGTCCATGGAAAACTTCTAGAGCATCTCCTCTGTGCCCAGTATCCTAGCAGGTACTGAGGCTTCTAAGGCACGGTTAAGACAGAGGCCCGCTTCTCTGGGCTCACACGCAAAAAGGCAAATCAACAGCACATGCCTGCTACAGTTTTTGGTGAACATGAGATGCGATCGAGCTTGTGATGTGTCTGGGACATGACAAATTCTCCAAAAGTGCAAGCTGCCATGACCACCAGGAGCCAGGGGTCCCTTACCACAATCTGAGGACCCCAAGCACCCAGCCAGGTGGACGGGCCCAAGAGCCCGCAGTCAGAACTCCTAGATCCTAGAACTCAAGTTACAGGACATGACACAACGGAAGCCAGTAGGGCCGCCACCCCCACCGTCCGCGCTATACGGCAGACTGGAGGCCTAGCGGGGGACAGTGGGAGACAAAAGGAAGACTGACACTTAAGGAAGCATGACAGGATGGAGTATGTGGTGTTTGGAATGATGGAAGGAGGAAAACCAAGAGGATTCGGAGGGAAGGGAGTTACATTTGCCCTCCATGCCCTAGTTTACTTGTTACGGATGGTCAGATGGTCCTCAGGAGAGGGGGAGGGTCCTGCGGCCTTCAGACTGTGGGACCCTGGTGCCAGCTGGCTGAAGGCTGAATCGTGTTCAGTAAGGGGCGGGGTGGTGGGGACAAGACACCAGGCCATGGGGTGAACATGGGGCAAAAGGTAAAGTGCTTCCCAAGCAAGATGGGGGTAGGGGGAGATTCCAAACACACCCAGCAACCAAGAATGCAGAGTCCTCTGGCTGTCTGGGATAAACAGAAACAAGATGCGGGTAACAGCTGTCCCCAGCAGGCAGGAAGGAGGGGGCCGCATTAGAGGTTAGGACTGGGACGCAGGGAAGCCACCGCAAACAATGGGGTCAAGGCCAGCCACCCTGATCCTTAATCTCCATCCCACATGAAAATCGCAGGGAGCAGCTTCTTGGTGAGATGTACAATGTGAGGCTGAAGGCACAGAGATAGTGCCCAGGTCCATGCAGACAGCGCCTGAAGCACGAGGGCCGAACGGCGAAGGGCACAGGCCCAGAAACCAGACTGCCTGGGCTCAGATCCCGGCACTTGTCTGCACCTTTGCTCTCCCTTTATGTAGCGGGTGCTCACAGAAGTCCTACCTCAGAGGGCTCTTGTGAGGAAAAGACAAGTGTATCCTTGTGAAGAATACAGGGTAGGCATTTCAGTAAGCACTGTTACTGTTTTTGTCACTGCAGGCTACAAAAATGAGTATGTTCCCTTATGACTCTCCCATCATGGCGCTCCTTCCTCCTGAGTCTGTCCATAGGCGGCCTCAGAATCCTTCTCCACAGTCTCCTGAGCAGCCACAGCGGACTCCTCAGACTGGGCACAGGATTTTCACAGCAGTCTGAACTAAGCAGAAGGCATGAGCAAGGAAACAGGTGTGGCCATCGCATCCCTCTCTTCTTCTCTCTCTGAATCTCCCTGGGGCTCTAGTCCCTATTCCCTAGGACATAGAAAGCCGGATTTAGGGAGAGAATTTGGTCCAGAGAAAAGGATCAGGAAACACAGAGAGAGAGAGAAAGAGAGAAAGAGAAAAGAGCCTTAGGGAAGGCAGGACTATCAAACTGAGTCAAATGTCTCCAGAGCAAATTTACTGACTTCAAGAGAGAGTAGCGAGAGCTGGATCTCCAAAGTCCCCGTGAACTCAAACACATCATATAAACAAGCGTGGAAAATCACTTAACTAGGCACGACTCTGCTCCATGAAAGAAAAGGACAAACCATCATCGCAAATCTAACGAAGCAGTCGAGAACCTACGAAAGGCAGACTGAGTGTCTTTGGGCAAATATCAAAGCCCCAAAGAAAGTATCTGGGGACATGCTATAATTCTGACGACCAAAATGTTCCAGAAGAGACTCAAAAGGCTGGCCGTGCTTGTTATTGGTTACGTGAGCCCAAGTGAAATATTTTGCTTCTGAGAGGGATGATGACACCAAACCTAATGTAGTCAGAGGTCACCCTCTCTGAGGCCTTGTGGGGCTGCTGGGACAGTACACATGCCCCACTGGTACTGGGTGTCCCTTCTGAACTCACACTCTGGCTGTGTGCATCAACGGGAGGGAGCTCTGATGCCACGGTCGCGGACTGAGAAAAACCACATGAAGTAGGAGTTAAGAGCACAGGTTTTGGCACCCATCTCCAGGCCTCAGTGTCCCCCCCTTTAAATGGCGATCATGACAGTATCCATTTCACAGAGCTGCGAGAAGCAGAACACATGGCACATCCCATAAGCACCACGGAGCTCATGACTGTAGTCCAGGGAAAGTCTGCAGGTAGGACTGGAAGGACACAGTGCCCAGTTCCGGGCTCGGCACAGAGTAGACGCGCAGAGATCACCTGTTGTATGCTCATCTGCACGGGCTGGACAGAACAGGACAACGTGCAGAGGTGAAGAAGGAAAAAGGCAGGGCATGAAATGAGAATGACGGGGGTCAGAGAAACCAGGCAGCCCTTGGAGGCGGCCGTGGGTTCTCCCAGTTGGCGCACGGACAAGGTCACGGTGGAGCAACGATCTTCGGCTCCAAAGGGTCTCTTTACCTTCACAATTTCCTGGGCCAAGATTCCTCCAACCACTGCACACACTGGGGCCATCTCGGAGAAGCAGTACCTAGAAGAGAAGACAAATGAACTGGAGCCCTGAGGAAGAGGAAGGCTGCGAGGACATCTGACAAAGGTCGGTAGTGGGCTTGCCTGAATGGAAACACCTCCTACCAGGAGGAGTCAGTTCAGATGCCAATCCTAATGCTGGCACCGAGGTGTGAAAACGAAATCTGCTCCAATTAAGTTACAATTTTTTTGTTTAAGTTAAAGGAAAGACTATATCCGTGCTTCCTAAAAATAAGGTCGAACAAATATCAGATGTTTCAGTGCCCCGGTCACATTCTCGCAATTCTCTTCTTACCCTCAATGGGCAGTGGGCTTCTATCTGCTATTCCCAGACAACTGTCAGGGAGAAGGCCTGTGTTAACATGCAGGAGGCAAGGGAAATCTGGGGCCTGTAATGAAGCATGGGGGCACAAAGCCTCTGCTACTCACAGAGATACCAACCCTTGTGGGTTGGGATGGGGCATCCAGAGGACAAATCTTAGCTAATACTGTCACCTGCCCCTCCAAATTACTGCTCCTGGGCACGACAACCCACTTCCACCACCTCCCCAGAGGAAGTGAACTCTGCCAGTTCCCAGCACTGAACACAGAAGGTATTTTTTAAATGAGCAAAGTGGAACAGAGAGAAGTTAAAGGGAAAGCTTCCCTAAGGAACCCTACCACTGGAAGACACCTCCAATCTTCCCAATGTGGTAAACACCCTTCCTAATTTTTAAACGTGCACATATCTAAACATATATAATTTAAAACCCAAGTAATAATAATCATTATTCATTCTGCTCTGTACCCTACTGATGGATATTTAAGCTGCTCAACATTGCAAACATACATCTTTGGCATAGGTGTCCAATAATTCCTTTAAAAAAAAAAAGATTTTATTTATTTGATAGAGAGAGAGAGAGAGAGAGTGAGCAAACAAGCATAAGCATGTGCGGCTGCAGGCAGAGGGAGACAGAGAAGCAGGATCCCCACTGAGCAGGGAGCCTGATGCAGGGGTTCGATCCCAGCACCCTGGGATCACGACCTGAGCCAAAGGCAGACACTTAGCTGCCCGAGCCACCCAGGCGGCCCAGTGTCCAGTTAATGCTTTATGACAAATTCTTAAATATAGAATTTTGGGGTCCTGACACATTGTGCCAAAATCCCCTCCAGAAAAGCTTTACCATTTCAACTCCCACCAACTGTGTGTGAAGCTGCCCATCTCCTCACACCCTGGTGGGATGGGCACTGCCATCTCTGCAACCACGGAAGTTAACTTTTCCTCTGGATTATCAAGTTCCTTGAGAGAACATAAAACTAATAGAGAACTATACCAAGGGCACCTGGGTGGCTCAGTCATTAAGCCTCTGCCTTTGGCTCAGGGTCCTGGGATCGACCACATCAGGCTCCCTGCTCAGCGGGAAGCCTACTGCTTCCTCTCCCACTCCCCCTGCTTGTGTTCCCTCTCTCCCTATGTCTCTGTCAAATAAACAAACAAAATCTTAAAAAGAGAGAGAGAGAGAGAGAGAACGAACTATACCAAAGAAAAACTGGTCACCCATAATCCCACTACTCAAAGATAATCAAATGTGGAAATATTTTTCCTTTAAAAAATATTCCTATATTCTGTGCAATCAGACTATACAATTTAATATTCTGCTTTTTTTTTCTCTCAAAAAGCATATCATCTCAACAAAATGCCAGGAAACCTAACCAGGAACATACAGAAAGGATTATACACCATAACTAAGTGGGATTTACAACCAGGAATGCAAAGTTGGTGTACTATCTGAAAAATCAATGCAGTATTGCCATATTACACAAATAAAGGGACCATAAACACATGATCATCTCAAGTGACAGAGGAGAAAAAAAAGCACTTGACAAAATCCAGCACCTCTTCATGATAAAAACACTCAACAAACCGGGAATAGAGGGAAATTCCTTCCACCCGATAAAGGGCATCCATGAAAAATCCACAGCGAACATTGTACTTAATGGTGAAAGACTGAAAGCTTTCTTCCTAAGATCAGGAATAAGACAAGGATGTCTGCTCTCACCACTTCTATCTGACATTGTACTAGGGGTTCCAGCCAAAGCAATCAAGGAAAAATAAACAAGACTGCCAGACTGGAAAGGAAGAAAATACATATTCACAGCATATAGAAAATACTAAGGAATCCGCAGAAAAATTATTCTAACTATGAAATTATTCGGCAAGGCTACAAGAGACAAGATCAATATACAAAAATTTAATTGTATTTCTATACATTAGAGATGAACATTCAGAAAATGAAATTAACACCTCCATTTACAATACCACCCAAAAGAATAAAATATTTAGGAATAATTAACAATAGTTATGTAAAACTAATATCCTGTAGACTACAAAACATTGATGAAAAAAACAAAAGATATAAATAAATGGAAAGATATTCCATGTTCATGGATCAGTACACTTAACACTGTTAAGGTGGCAATACTCCCCAAATATAATCTATATATTTGGCACAATCCCAACCAAAATTCTTGCTGCCTTATTTGTAGAAATGCAAATTTCTACATCCTAAAAATTCATCTGGGAATGCAAGAGACCCAGACTAGTCAAAAGAGTCTTGAGAAAAAACAAAGCTGAAGAAATCACATGTCCCAATTTTACAACTTATTACTACTACTGCTGCTACTATTACAAATCAACAGCAATCAAGACACTGTGGTACTTTTTTTTTTTTTAAAGATTTATTTATTTATTTATTTATTTGATGGGGAGAGAGAGAGAGAGATATCACAAGCAGGCAGAGAGGCAGGTAGAGAGAGAGAGAGGAGGAAGCAGGCTCCCTGCCAAACAGAGAGCCCGATGCGGGGCTCGATTCCAGGACCCTGGGATCATGACCTGAGCCAAAGGCAGAGGCCTAACCCACTGAGCCACCCAGGCGCCCAACGCTGTGGTACTTTTATCTATACAGAGAGACATATATATCAGTGAAATAGAAGTATGAGAATCCAGAACAAGAATTACATATATGTTCAACTGATTTTTTTTTTTTAAAGATTTTATTCATTTATTTGACAGAGATCACAAGTAGGCAGAGAGGCAGGCAGAGAGAGGAGGGGGGAGCAGGCTCCCCGCCGAGCAGAGAGCCCAATGCAGGGCTTGATCCCAGGACCCTGGGATCATGACCCGAGCAGAAGGCAGAGGCTTTAACCCACTGAGCCACCCAGGAGCCCCTGGTCAACTGATTTTTGACAAGGGTGAAAAGACCATGGGTCTTTTGGGTCTCCACATGCAAAAGAATTAAGCTGAACCCCTACCTCACATCATGCACAAAAGCCGACTCAAAAATGACTTATGGTGGGGCACCTGGGTGGCTCAGTGGGTTAAAGCCTCTGCCTTTGGCTCAGGTCATGATTCCAGGGTCCTGGGATCGAGCCACACATCAGGCTCTCTGCATAGCGGGGAGCCTGCTTCCTCCTCTCTCTGTGCCTGCCTCTCTGCCTACTTGTGATCTCTGTCAAATAAATAAATAAAATCTTAAAAAAAATAAATGCAAATCAAAAAAAAGTGAAATACAATTTATTACTCACTAAGGTTAAATTAACAGACAATAACACTTGCTGGTAAGGATGTGGAGACACTGGAAGCCACATAAAGTGCTGGTGGACTGGTAAAGTGGAAGACAGTCTGGCAGTTTCTCAAGACGTTAAACATAGAATTACCATATGAATCATCAATTCCACTCTTAGTTCTACACACCCAAGAGAAATAAAATCTTGTGCTCACACGAAAACATGTGAATGTTTATAGTGGCTTTAGTCTCTAATTGCCCCAAACTGGGAACAATGCAAATGTCCTTCATCTGGTGAACAAACTGGTACATCCATGTAGTGGACGACTGCTCAGCATAAGAAGAAATGAGCGATCCCCTCATACAACATGGATCAACTTCAAGTGAATTAAGCTAAGTGAAAGAAGCCAGACTCAAAAACTTACACATACTGAATGACTGCATTTTATGTTACACTATTGGATAAGGGAGAACTACAGGGATAGAGAACAGATCAGCTGCCTTGTTATCAACACACTACAAGGGAATTTTTTTTTTTTTAAGATTTTTATATATTTGACAGAGAGAGACACAGAGAGAGAGGGAACACAAGCAGAGGAGTGGGAGACGGAGAAGCAGGCTTCCTGCTGAGCAGGGAGCCTGATGCAGGGCTCAATCCCAGGACCCCGGGATCATGACCTGAGCCGAAGGCAAACGCCTAACAACTGAACCACCCAGGAGCCCCTGATTTCATGGAACTTTAAAAACAAAACAACTGACAACTATATGGTCAACTAATCTTTGAAAAAGCAGGAAAGGATATCAAATGGAGAAAAGACAGTCTCTTAAGCAAATGGGTGTTGGGAAAACCAGACATAAACAGGCAGAAGAATGAAACTGGACCACTTTCTTTCTTTCTTTTAAAGATTTTATTTGAGAGACATCCTGAGACAGAGTGAACACAAGCAAGGGTGGAAAGAGCAGAGGGAGAGGGAGAAGCAGACCAGGGAGCCTGATGCGAGTCTGGATCCCAGGACCCCAGGATCATGACCTGAGCCGAAGGCAGACACTTAAAGGACTGAGCCACCCAGACACCCCTCGACCACGTTGTAACACCACACACAAAAATAAATTCAAAATGGATGAAGGACCATCAAAATCCTAGAGGAGAACATAGGCATAAACCTCACCGACCTCAGCCACAGTAATATTGGGACTCCATTGAGATGAAAAGTTTCTGCACAGTGAAGGGAACAACAAAACTAAAAGGCAACCTAGAGAATGGGAGGAGGGATTTGCAAATGACACATATGATAAAGGATTAGTATACAAAATCTATAAAGAACGTAACCAAACTCAACAGCCAAAAAAACCAAAGAATCCACTTAAGAAATGGGCAGAAGACATGAATAAACACTTTTCCAAAGACATCCAGATGGCTACTGGACACATGAAAAGATGCTCCACATCACTCATC